TAACATGTTTAATAAACTGTGGATTCACAGATCATGCATCACTGTCTTTAATTATATTTACCGACAGGCAACATCTTAAGTCAGTTCTTAGACACCGCTCCTGAGTTTTCAAGTATAAAAAAAGATTACTCTCCAAAATAAGAAAGGCAAAGTAAAGTTCAATAGAAGAATATGACTTTTCTTTATTGATCTGTATAAATTATTAAATGTTTACAAAAAACTGGCTTCAACTATGCCAGCCAAGAGAGTCAGAGCTACGTAAAAATACAATGACTTGAAAAACTGAACTTGTTAAAAAAAAACTTGCAGGGACCAAATGTTATCTTTCCCCTAAGCACAGTGAGGATAACCCTAAACAGGTCAGAATAATCTCAAGACCTGAGGAGCAAATAATAATAATAATTGAACTTTATTGATCTCATACTGGAGAAATTACCCTCTGCATTTGACCCATCCCTTAGGGGAGCAGTGGGCTGCCACTGTGTGGTGCCCGTGGAGCAGTGTGGGGTTAAGGGTCTTGCTCAGAGACCCAGAGTGCAGGCTGTGGGGATCAAACCAGGTACTTGCAACCTTCTCAGAGCACAAGCACACTGCTCTAACCACTAGGCCAATGCTCCCCATAGCTTCATTTGAGCAAGACTTTAAAAAAAACAATTTATACGAATGGTTTTGTATATTTATGATTTGTACTTGGAGACCAATTATACTGAAAAATACATACATTGTGTCATTCATCACTTACATTTGACATAAGGTAATAACTTGATAGAAATTAGTCCGTAGTGCAGTTGCTATGCTTTCTAACAGTAATGAACCAGCAAGGAATTTAACCCAGGTTTCAATGAGCAATAAAAAAAAAATTGGCAAATAAATTCTAGTTAAAAGCCTTCAACTGATCCAAAATGCTGCAGCCTGAGTTCTGATGAAAATTAATAAGAGAGATCATATTACTCCTATCCTAGCTTCTCTTCATTGGCTTCCTGTTAAATCCAGAATAGGATTTAATGTCATCCTTCTCATGTAAAGCCTTAAATGCAGTCTGCAGGTTTACTAGTGGTTCCTACAATTTCTAAAAGTAGAATGGGAGGCAGATCGTTGAGTTATCAGGCTCCTCTGCTGTGGAACCAACTGCCAGTTTTAGTCTGTGAGGCAGACACCTTGTCTACTTTTAAGGGTAGGCTTAAAACTTTCCTTTGAAAAAGCTTATAGTTAAAGTGGCTCAGGTTATCTCTAGTTATGCTGCTAAAGGCTTAGACCGCTGGAAGACAAGGGACCCCTTTTATCATTCTGCTTCATTCTATCTCTACTCCCCCATTTTGAAGTATTTTTTAGTTAAATCTCTAATATTAGGTTCTCCCTGCCTTTTACTCATCATAATAGCTTTATCTGGTCTGTTCCTGTTTGGCTGTGACACCATCCAGGAGAGAAATATCAGCTGTGTTGCTGCCATCAAGACCGTTGTTTATAGATGTTGGAGCTGGACCTGTTTTTCAGTGTAGTCCTGTTTCCCTGACTGTGGCTGGCTGGATGTGCTCTCTTTCATCCTAACATGGGAGCTGGCTCAGAGCCCTTCTGCCTGGCTGTGTGTTTCCTGGATGGGGCCGCCTGTGGTGCTGGTTGACAGTTGACTCTAGTATCTCTGCTTTTTTCTGTATGTCTGATTTTATCTCCTTGATCCCCAGTCGGCCTCTGCAGATGGCCGCTCATACAGAGCCTGATTCTGCTGGAGGCTTCTTTCTGTTAAATGGGAGTTTTCCCTTACCACTGTCGCTACAAGCATGCTTGGTGTGAGGGATTGCTGTCAGGTCAATGAGTCGATGCAATCAGCTGGTTTTCCTGAAATAGAAAACGTTGAACCAATCTGACTATCATTTGGTGAAATTGTATAAATTGTAAAGTAGCTACAGATGACATGTGTTGGTAATTGGCGCTATATAAAAAAAACTTAATTGAATTGTTGCATACGGTCAGCCTCAGAGAGGGCTGTGCTGCTTTTTTCTTCTTCAAAAAAGGACTGTTTAGGAAAAATTCTGGTTACAAAATCACATGTATCCATGGTGTGAAAATGAAAGAAATTCTTAAAATTAAACATATTGTTTTCTTTTTTTAGATGAGGTTTCATCATAAGTTTGTGGTGTTAAACACTCTTCTAAAAATCTCACGTTGGCCCTTGCTTACTTTCATATGCTAACACTTATGGTAATTACTTTACCACTTCGAATTAAACTAACTTGTTGCATCTTTTTTTGCGCCGCCTGTTTTCAATTTGCAGTCAGTCTACATCCCCCTTCTAGTTGATGCATTGAGGAAGTCCAGTGCAGAGGACAACAACAAACTATTTTCTGTAATCTTTAATGTCTTCAAGTGTCCTCCTGCATGCCACCAAGAAGCAGCCAACCCATCACTCAGACGCTCACATCCCTGCCTTTGTCTGTTATCAAGTTCTAAAAGGAGCTGTTTCCAAGCAGCCAAATAGAGGGGCCATCAGCAGCGCCCAGACCCCAGTTATTTCCATCAGACTAAACAACATTTGCATTAACTTGTTTCCTGTTGCCCTGCTGTTATGAATCACATCAAATGTGACATATTCATTTAAAACTATATTGTACAAGACAAGCACTACAAATAGAAAATAAATTCTTATATACAGTGTACTTTTTGGAAATAATTTCATTTAGAAAGGTGAAAACTTCACTTGTTTCTCTATGACTGCATTCATCTTGATGGAGGAAAACTGGGAGCCGGTTAGAAGATGAAAATACTTAGAATGCAAGGGGAATGTCTGCTTGTGCTTCCAGAGGTTATTATTTTTTTTTATTGTTTGTAAGCCTGCTGCTGCCAAACTTACTGACAGGGAACAAAAGCAGCTTTGTTTTAGTGACAGCTTAAAGCTGACTGCCTAATATTATTCTTTATCTCACATAGAAAATACCGAATCCAGTCAATCAATTGGCAAATATAAGCTTACACTGTCTCTTGAAAATCCAATAAACTTACCCATTTCATTTTCTGAAATATACAATTACAACAATTTTACACAGATCTTATAATTTACAAGACAAACCATCTGGGTTTACCTTTAAACACTACTTCCAACTCAGGTACAAAGACTGATGTTGGAATTTCTGATTTCAAATTGCGATCTTAAAAAAGAATCTGCTTAATCACATAAAATTTTATGCATAAACAGAATAAAAATTCATACTGCTGCAAAGCATCCTGCGGCTATACAGCCAAGGTAGTCAGCCGTGTAGAATTATCCCCCCCGAGAAACTAGTGATGCATTTTACTGTTTGTCTGTGAATAAAAACAAGTGTGAGCCGTTAGGGATTTTCTGCTGTCCCAGTCATCACTACAAGTCAACCCTCAGGACAGAAGGGTTCAGATTTCTTTCATAATCTCCATCTCTGCGAGTGTGTATGTGTATCTATTATAGTGAAGAGCAGGTGCTCTGTATTCAGTGTGAAATTAAATTATAGATTTGCATATTTGGACATTTGTATGCATGCCTATATTCCCAAACACCATATGCATGTATTTGTGTATTTTGTTCTTAGATATTTGCTTCAAATCAGAAGTGGGAATTCCATTTAGAGGATCCTAATCTTTGTGATTTAATAACTTTTTCTTAAATGTCACCAGTTGAAGTGGAATCGTGATCACCTTGTTAACCTCAGCATCAGGTGCACATTAATCAGACTAATACACCTTTTAGTGATTGATTCGATTCCATTAAACATTATCAGCATTGATAATAACCATCAGCTTCTATTTGAATTCCTGCTGAAGCAAAGCCAACATGCATTTACTGGTCCATAGACAAATAAATCATGATTCCACTCTGATCGGCAATAGAACTTAATACACTAGCTCTAGATTAAAGGCAGATGGTTAAATTCATGACCACAGAAATCATAATTCTCAGCTTAATAATCCGAAGAGAGAAAAAAAAAAGGTGGTGAATTTCTTTATTCTTTAAGATGGCTTTCTGCAAAGAGCAAGACACCATAAACTACATCCAAGCTAAAATACAGTTGATTCCAGTTCGTATCCTTAATTCGCTCAATGGGAATAGGTGCTTCCCTAGGGTGTGCACCATGTACACAGAGTATTGCCATGCCTAAGATGTGGCTGATGACGCCTGTGACCAAGTTATGATTCCGTGTGGAGATCCACCCATATAAAGGCTGTTGCCGATTCCAATTATTTTTACATCAATCTAACCAATCCTAGATTTGTGCAGCTGATTTTTTTTTTTGGCAGCAAATTTTAAAGCTTACGTTTCTTCCTTCTCGATTCACATGATAAAATGATATAAAGGGAGCGGCAATGCATGCACTCCATGTGATCTCAAGACATAGCTGCTGAATGCACCGATGAATCGGCATACCCATGTGCATACCGCCTGCTACGATACAAAAACCCTGTAAATATCGACTCAAGATATCAAACATTCAACTATTATTTCATGTTGGAGAAACAGAGGATGGGTGGGTTAGGATCTGGTTGGGTGTGAGTGAAAGGGGGGCTAATTCAAGGAGCCCTCTTGGGATTACACAAAAAATACACAATATTAATATCAAGTAAACAGCAAACAAGCTTTAACTGAAATAAATGGCAGAACATTTCTTTTTTCCATTTCAGCACATAGAGTTAAAGCCTTTGGACTCAAAATGCATGTTAAACATAGACAATTGGCATATAATATGTAATCAGTTGGTATTGCACTAAAGAATGCACAGATGTAATGAGTTACTATTCACTTATTTATAATTGCTTGGCCGTCCTCTAATAGCAGCAGCACACTGTGCTGCAGAATAGTAATAGTATTCCCAATAGTATTGATGAAAGCTACACTTAGTTTGATCCCTGCCTCAAGCCTTTAAGCTCCAAATCATCAATCCTGTCTGCATCAGATGTGAGATGATAAGTTTAACCTCCAGCACCAGTGGAGTGGATGCAACTGTGTCAGCAGAGAGGAATCATTTGGAACTCCTTACCCCAAAGATTACAGTGTCTTCTCCTTGGAATACCGGGATGAACTTATCTCCGCGGATAATCTCAGACTGGTTCAGCGGACGGAATCGACACAACACCTTGATGTTGCATTCAGCGTTGGAATCAGCCATGGCAGATGGAGAAATAACGCACGCGCCTCCAGGAGAAAGGAAGGAAATTAAAATAAAAAAACCTTGAAAAATAAGCAACCTGGACGCAGTGTGAACTAACTGGCTTACACCCTCATGCCAAGCGTTTCTGACAGGCGAAGCAGAACTACGACTTTTTAGATCCAGGAATGATTAAATGAGCGTAAAACCATAAAAGCGCGCCGTTTGCGCGTAATTCTCCGCTTTTAAATCCCCTTAAACTAATCCGTGCAGCTGAGTGGAGGAGAACATATGGAGGGGAATAAATGAGGAGTGTAGTCCAAAGTGGTCCGGTCTGTCTGGAGGGGTTGCAGGCTTTTCAGAGGCATGCCCTGCATCCCTGCCTTGTCAATGGGGGCGGGGCGTGGTGGAGTAGCGGCTCACATCCTCCCTCATCAGCATCACTGAGCAGCGGGAGCCGCTCCAGCCCTTCACTTAACTCCTACTGTTTCAGGCAGGGGACAACAAAACTGTGCATATATTCAAACTATCCTATGATGTTCACCCAAAAATAAACATATTTGAAAAGAATATGTGCTATCTGTGTCTGTATATAAGTTATAAATATTAGATCAGGTGTTCTAGATCAAGTGTACCAGGGGGCCAGCAGGGGGCCAGAAAAGCGTGAAATAAAAAACAGGGTTAGGGATTCAAATATATTAACATAGCTGCATGAAATGAAATTTCTATTTAATAGGTTTAATTATAATTCTATGTTTTATTAGGGCAATATACATTCAGAATTTAGGAATTTTACATATTTTTCACTTAATTTATTTATTTATTTTTTTATATATATGTTAAGATATTCTTCTTTTCTTTTTTTATACAGTGTCCTGTCTGGCAATGTGGCAAGAAGAATAATTGTCTTGATGCCAAAAAGAGCCCAACAGATTTTACTTTCACAAGTGGAGCAGTAGGGCTATCGCCATAGTTTTCCGCTTGTTTCATGCATATAAATTGCTTTATTATAATTATGCAGGGAGTTTTACAGATTATATGGACACTGCAATGTACATAGAATACAAGAGGAAAAACAGAAAAAAGGAGAAAAGATAAGAGAAAGACGAGATAAAAGGGAGATAATGATAAAACATTTTCAGTCTGCTTCATCACCTGTAAAGAGATGTAAAAAGAACAGCACAGCCAACGGACATGGTACGAGACATACAATAAAGTAACACCTAGACACTATTGCTGAAGTAGCATTATTTAATCTGACATGTACTCTGTGTTACCTGAAGATAAGAATATGGGCTTTCTGTATGGAATGTTTTGACTTAATTTAAGTTAAAATAACTGTTTTCTATCAAATCTGAATTAGGACTCAAGAAAAACAGATAACTTCAGCTATAAAAATTTGAGTATTTTTTAAATTTTGTTTAAAAAAAACATTTAGCAGATGAAAAATGGGATTCCTATCTCAATCCAACTGAAGCTATCACCTTATTGTTTTTAAATAATTAGTAAAATAGAATTTGTAAAGATAAAAAAGGAATAGATCCAAAGGAGCTATCAGAAACCATGTCTGTTCCAGTGTATATCATCATTAGAATTTCTTTGAGTATTATGTCTTCTGTACAGGGGCGCCATAACAGGGGCCAGGACATGATCTACAGGGGCACTGGCCCCCGTTGGCCACTGTCTAGAACCGCCCATGGGTGTTATGATAAAGTAATTTGGAAATGGAGGATTTTTTTTGTTGGTTTGTTTTGCTTTTTACCAAATACTATTTCACTCTTAGGATAAGAAACTTTACTGATGATTTCAAAACTAAGAAAGATGCTCAAGGAATTACACAAAATATAGGCATATAAAATGACAAAGTAAAAATTAAACAGAGATCGTAAAGCATGTGTAAAATGTACAACAGAGAAGTTGTGAAGCAGTTGTAGATAGAAACCTATAATGTTTATTGTATCAAATGAATGATTGATATTGTTTTCTATGTAGAAAACAGGAGGAGTTCAAGCATTTGAAAGGCCACTTTGAGAAAGGAGTATCTGTAGCATTTTGTATGGCACCTCGGTGGTCTCAGTCAATGACTGAATGTCCTATAGTAGGAGCCAACTGGCCCATGCAGGGGGTCTGACTCATTTTCAGGATCTGGAGTTGTTTCGTCAGCATTTTCTGCTCAGACATCTCTGCTGAAGATTGAGTCAGCTCTCTCGTTGAGCTTACTGAGTCTGTTGGCAACAGCTCGCTTCACCCTGGGGCCCCAGGACAGTAGAAGATGAGAATGGAGACTTCTAAGTAAACATCTGCAGCATGGTCCCACCATTTACTAAAACAATTTCATGTATGGCAACTCTATCTTTTATTTTAATAAAACAATGTTGAAGAAGTACCACTTTTACAATGTTTTGGCACTCTACTCCCCTGCCTATACCCACTTGTCTACAGTTTGCTACAACACAGCTGTTATCTGTAGTTTCTTGGTAGGAGACAGGGTACATCCTGGACAGATTGCCTGTCATCACAGCTCATATGACATGATGGAAAACCAAAAACAATCAGTTGAGATATCACAAAGGGAGCGGTGTCTGTGAAAAGGCTGCATAAAGCTGCTTAGACAGCACCACTGTTCACAGCGATAACACTTTGCTACCAAAGAGGGTTCAAAATTGACTAAAGAAGCAAAAGAAAATAACAATTTGAAATGCAGAAAAATACTTTACATTTCATAGAAATTATATTTGATCTGGTTAAAAACTGCCTGGAAGCTGTTGGTCTTAGTGGCTGCTGGTACTTTTGGAGGGAAAAGGTAGAAAAGGAGGAAGCGGGTCTTAAAACATTAGGAAAATACAAATTTTTTGGTCCTGCTGACAGATACAAGGTTACCTCAAACAATATTAACTGTTTTACACCATGGAAGTATATCTGGTTTCAATATTTCAACATTTCTTCATTAAATTACATGGGAGACATTCAGTTGTAATGTATATAAAATGTAACTACTCAATAAAATTATTAATTAATTGTTCACAAAGTTTTACTTTTTTTATCTTGCTCTTTTTATTTTCTGTAAAAAAACAAGGATCCTTTACATGTGGCTATAGTCCAGAGGGTTCATTGTAGCATTCTGGACGATGATGTCCATATATCAGTGATAGACTTAAATTCCTCAGTTGATGGCGGAAGCCCATGTTGTCCGTTTCAGATCTTGTCACTGTGGGTATAAACATGAATTGTTCTACACATTTAAAATGCCTTTTAGAATAGGAATTGCATAACTAAGGCTCTGCTAGAGTTAATTAGAACTGCCACATTCTTGGTAGTTAGCTGTCCTCTACGCAGTAAAATCTCCTTATAAAATCTCTCAAAGCTGATAGTCCTCTACAGAGACATCTGAGAAGTCCTTAGTTTAGCAAGATAAGCCTAGGGAGAGTATACACCCATGAGGGCACCTGTTCAGATTGTCCTGAAGCTCAATATCCCAAGCCTCAGCAGCCAGTCTTAGTCTTTTAGTGAGTTCCACCGAATCCTCAAATCAATTAAAGAAATCTTTAGCAATTCAACAAGGATCCTAGCTAAATTAGCAGCTCTGTTGGATAATGTCTCCCACCCCATGCATGAAGCTGTTGCAGAACTGGAGAGCTCCTTCAGTAACAGACTGCTGCACCCTAAATGCACCAGGGAGCGTTATCACAGATCCTTCCTCTGAGCAGCTTTAACACTCTATTACCATCACTGTTTCCAACAACCTCAATAAGTTCTTACATTCATGCTGACTTTGCACAGTTTCTACCTTAGTCAGTTAAATAACATGCGGCTGTCATTTTGCACATCTCTGATGTTGCTGCTATTTTCAAATATCTGTTACTGTAAAAATGTTCATAGCTGCATATTGGTTATTTATTCTCCAGGTGCACAGTTTTTATATTGTTAAAACACTTTACAGTACAATATTTTATCTTTTAACTCTTCACTATTATGTTATTCTTATACATTTTTAAGGTCCATATTTCTGTGATAATTTTTTTCTATAAACGTTATGCTGCTGCTGTAAACATCAGAATTTCTCCATTACGGGACAATAGAGGGATTTTTTATTCTATTCTATTCTAAATTTGATTATGAATATTTACAATTTATAAGTCATCTATAAAAACAACAAAACCGTAGATTTTATGCAAAACTATGTAAAAAAAAAAAAAAAGGCATATTGTTTCACGTATGTAGCATCAGGTTAAAGACATTTTATATGAACTGTGCAGAACTTGAGAATTTTCCCCATTATCAATTTCTTTTTGTCTCAGAGATAGATACCAAACTACAAATTATAATCATTTCCATATCTGCTTGATTGTCAATGTCATTGGAAAAAGGACAGTATGTTGTAAATTTGTATGGAAACAAAGATCTATGAAGAAAAGGAATAAAACCAGACAGTAAAATAAAAAAAAAATGTGGTCAGTAGATTTTAAAGAGCATTAACAACAGTTTCTTCACTCCAGATTTTAAAAAACAAATCAAAATAAGTAAATAAAAGATTCCAAATGAGAGCATCAATTCTATCAATGTATTTATGTCCTAACATTTTAACTTTAGGAGGTTGAACTATAAATCGATTCAGTCCAGAAACTTAATTACTCGAATTATAGGATGCAGTATTGTAAGTCTTGTATAAATCCTCAATGTGTCACATGAAAATAATTAACATTTTCTGGAGAGTAAATACTTTTCCTCCGTTGACGATCTTTGTTTTTCTGACTGGTCATTCAATCCGTATCTTTGGCGCCCCCATGTGTCCATAAGTTTACTAGGACTAGGTCATCGTTCAAATAACAATTTTTTTTCCGGTGAAAAATATCAGATAATTTAATTGCTTCCTTGCATTGACCTGAAAAAACACGATCTTAAAACTGAAATGAAAAGGTCTGAAAAAATAACATCTCCATGACGAAACATATACGGGGTGACGAATGACGGCTTTAGGTGTGCTTGTTTTACTGTAACTAATACGCCGCACTCCGCTTTGCCGTCGACACATCAGTTAGCAGCACCGCCCCACGGAGAGTGAGGAAAATAAATCCAACAAGCGACCACATCAGCCTGCACTCCACCGGCTGAGAGACTGCTGGCTCATCCATCGTTAGCTTTTGATAGAACCCCACTCGGTGCAATCGGTTACTTTAACGACTATTATTGTATTTTGTCGTGTTTTTGTTCTTCCCGTTGACAATGGCGGATCCTAAATACGCAAACTTACCAGGAATTGTAAGTGGCTAACGCTATGACACTACTAGGTGGAAGTGCTAGCTTACAGCTTTGCAGCAGGGTCGTTTATCTGTATATTTCCCACAAATACTATCCATTTAACACCCTTAAAAATGTTACATTTCAGTAGCAAATATTAAGCTAATGTAATGCATTATGTTGTTAGCATTCAGAAAAGCCAGAGGAAACCTAATGGTGTTGCTTTAAGCCGGGGCGTTGGCCAGGCTAACGCAAAATAAACCAACGGAATATCAATATTTTATCGTTTTGTTTCATTAGGCTTTTAACGAACCCGACGTATACGAGACCGGCGACCTTCCAGAGGATGACCAGGCTCAGTTTGAATCGGTAGGTGGACTTGCTGCGTTTTTTGTGTAGGTTTATTAACCTTTAGCCTGTTGCTAATGCTAATGCGCTAACTAACGTTTAGCCCTCCTAATGGACCAAATAGGTTCCTTCATTGTTTTAAAGGTTATCTGATTAGTTATATTGCTAACAGCTGTATGTTTTGAATCTTACTCCGCCATTCAGTTAGTGATTTTTCTTTCTTATAAATGAAGCATAATTTATAACTGAGAGATGCTGTTACTAACTTCAGAAATGAATGAATTAAAGACTCCTTTAGCAGCCATATCATTTGTTGGTACTTAAATGAAAGGTTTAAGTTAACCGACTTGCTTCACTTCTCCCAACAAATGATACACACACTTTTTTTGTTAAGTATTGCATAAAAAGGACAAAATGTATCCACAATTTGAAAAAGAAATAAGCAATTCCCCCTGAAGTCTGAAATGCCGTCTATAATTACACCACGATGATCATCTTGTGACCTTGAGAAAAATTTTATGTTTTTCTTGCTTATCAGTTTATAATAAATTTCATTGTTTTGGTGTTCTTTTTCATATTTAGGGGTTTGCTTTTATTTTTTTTAATTCTCTTTTTAATAATCTTATGTTGACAGAGCAGCCAAGTAAATTTTAGCCGCATTTTTTCCCCATTCTATGATGCCACATTCATTCTCCCTCTTCTCTTGTCCCCTAATTTGACCTCTCTTCATCCCTCCTGGGACCCTAGTGTGTACAAGTAAGACTTCTCTCAGAGAGCTTAATGCATGATGGGTTTTTTAACTTACGGTGATATATCAAATGTTCCTATACGCACTGATTTAGATGAGAAACAGAATTGCGGTTTGGTTCTTTTCCCTGTGATTCTTCAAAAAATGATTGATGAACCTGATGATTTGGTTTAAATTTTATCCACTCCTAAATGATGCTGCAGGTCTTTTGAAGCACTGATTGATGTGCGCATGCATGCGTGTGTGTATGTCTTAAAAGAGACATTCTGTTGATTAACCTGTGTTCATGCTCTAACAACTTGCTTCTTGGCTAACCCTTAATTTTCTAACTTTCAAAAGAGCTGCCACTTTTTTATTTTTTAGGCCGTGCCTGTCATATTTGACAGTTTGACTGTGAAGGAAACATACTTGCAGTATGAAATAGGGTAAAATTATGATCCCTCTTTTATGAAGAAAGGGGAAAAAATCAAGAAGTGACATTTCAGCTTGTTTCCCACATTTATTCCCCTCCTGTTTTGTATCAAAAAATAAGCTTTGGTCAGTAGAATTCTATCACAGTACCACAAGCTTATTTTTGTTCAGTTCACAATTCCTGGAGTAATTCTGATTAGTTACTCCACAATGTTTTTTCTTTGGCCAGTGTGTTTTACACAGTTCAGGGGTGCCAGGGAATCATTATCTGATCTATTGGTAGATTTATCAGGTATGCAACTGCGATGATAGTTTCTCAGTGTGAGGAGGTTTGTTTCAGCTGTTGGATTCAATCACTAGCTGGGCTGCAGAAATATTTAAAAAATCGTATCAAATTCAAACCTTGCTGTATAGCGCTGGGAAGGCTCCATAGTATCACGTATGTTTAAAATTATTTAAAATGTTATTTGAAAAAAAGCTATATAATTCAAAATAAACACTTTTTATACTGCTCCTAAAATATAACATTTAACAATACAGGTTTAATTGTCTCTATACTATAAGTTAAATATGTTAATTTAATCAATTCAAAATGATCCTTTCTAACATTAAGTTGTTTTTGATTATTTGTTGTATATAAATTTATAAAATGTTATTATTCTGCTCTTGAAAATGGTAGTTGTTTTAAGACAAGCTATGGCTTGACTTAATTAAGGCTGAAGCAAATAGATTATTAGTGATTAATCGATTATTGAAATAATTGTCAACTAATTTAATAATTAATTGTTAACTGGAGTATCTCGATTCTAAAACATGTCTTTATCTGAAAGAGCGACCCATTTAGAACAGTAATTGTATTAAGATTGTAAAAAGAAAAACTTATATCTAAACTTTGCATTTAAGATAAAAAAAAAAAAAAAACAAGTTTTGTCTGTCAATATGCTCTATCAAAAACTCAACTGGAAAACAGTGAGTTTAACCTGGTTTGATTTAGCAGAAAGTTGTCCTAAAAGAATCTTTGGCTATCCGATTATTAATTGATTAATCCAAAAATTTATTGACAGATGAAATGATTTGGAAATAATCATTAGTTGAAGCCCTAGTCTTAATACAGGTAACCAGATCAAGTCTACTAAAAATGTTGATTCTCTTCAAAACCACAGTTATAATACAGTTAAGAATAATTAAGATCTTCATGTTTTTAAATGACCAAAGTCTTGAAACGACTTTTTTTTTCAATATGGACGTAGTTTTTCTGTTTGTGAACTGAAAAAAAATCTCTTTAACTGATTAACTAAACTAATAGAAAATTTAACTGAGCATTCAGTTTTTTTGTCTCCACACATTACTCAATAATTTCTTTTGAACCTCTGAGAGAAATGGTCAAATTATTTTTGATAACTTTGAATACATCATCAAAGAGAAGAGAAACTTACTAAGCTATCTTTCACCCTGAATGAGTGAAGAGGGAAAGGAGTGCAGACCTACGTTACCCAGGGAGGTTGTCTCCAGGGTTTGTAGCTGCAGCTCTCCCAACACTGCTTTCTTTCTTATCTTCCTGAAACCCTGGCCAAGTGTTCCTGTTGTGTGCATGGCATGTGATAACCACATTAATCTGTGTCTCTTTCTCCCCCCCTACTTTTTTTCTCTCCCTCTGCTCTTCCATTTTTTTTTTGTAACTCTCTTTGGAAACCCAAGGAGCTGGTAAGAGCCTAGCTAACTCTCCTCCTCTTCCTCCTGACATCCCTCGAACTGTCTGTGTTTTTATGTTTCCTCTCATGTGAGAACTGTCATTTATTTTTGTGCGTCAGTGGTGTTGTTTGTAGCCTCTAAATCTCCATAACTGATCACTAGAATGATTTGATAAAATAATTTTTAATTTTTGCTTCACCAAAACATTAATGAAAAAGCTGTCATTTAGAAAAAAAAATATTTTGGTGTTTCTGGCTTTTTCATTCATGTAACTTTGTATCACAATAGATTAATCCCAATAATAAAATCATGTCAGTTGTTTACTTACAGTGGTTTAAATGCATTGATCTCTTTACTGATCCTCTAAATCGGGTTTTATAAGATTTTCATTATCAAGCTTATGCAACAAATGCTTTTAAATTCTGATTACCGTACATCTAGGTGTTGTGTCCTCTAATCCCCTCCAGTTTTATTGGAGCTATGCACTAGTCCTTATTAAATTTATTTATATTTTTTAGGTATATCTAGTATCAAGCACTCCAGATCTTTTTATAGCTGTATATATAATTAAACTTTGATCTTTTTTTTACCAGGAGGAGCTTTGCAGTGACAGCGTAGAGCGGATTGTGGTCAACCCCAATGCAGCCTACGACAAGTTCAAAGACAAACATGTCAGCACCAAAGGACTCGGTCAGTTCGTGTTTCAACAACAACTCACTTCATCTACTCTGGGAGCTTTTTAACCTTAGGAATGCATTATCAAAATTAGTTTTGGGCAATTAATTGCATTTTCAATGTAATCGGAATTTAGAAAAATGCAAGTTTCAAATCGCAGAGGCTCTCAATTTTAAGTCATATTACATTTAACAAGAGTAGGACAATAAATTTCTCCCTCCAGCCCTTTAAGTGGCAGTAATACGGTTAAATTAGGTATTCTTGTTAGAAAAAAAAGGGGAACGGAGAGTTTCAGCTAGCACCTAGGTCTATGCATTATAGTAGAAGTAAGAACGATTTCATGCAAATGTTAAAGTCCTGCAAAACTGGACTCTGGACAAGCAGGCTTTCAAGGTCATGAAAAAAGTGAAACCCTAGAGTAAAACATCGACCTGCTTGTGCTCATGCTACGTTCAGATCGCACGTGCTAGAGGCAGAGGAAACGGCTAGTTTACATGCAAAGTCAATGGTTGACGCTCATCAAGACGTAGCAAAAGGTCATGCAGCGCGCTTTGAGCAGCAGGAGCACCGCCTCGTGAGCTTCTGAACATTTGATGCATGCGACGCTCTGCGAAGGGAGCAGCAGCTGCTGGAGTTGGAAAAACTGAACTTTTGCTGCTCGACGCACCACATCAACCAATCAGAGAAGCTGATCTGGGAGCTGGCAGGGAAACAGACACAGCACTACTGATGCAGATTGCCAAGAACACTCCACTGAAACAGTTTATGTCTAAATTAACTTAAAATGTCGAAACCTGCTGAAAAAAAAAGATGTTCGATTTTATTTTGGTGCCTGCAGTTTGGATTATGTGCATGAAAAACGCCTTCCAGCGCCGTGAACAGTAATGGAAAACCGCAAAGAGTGACTGGGCCAGTGGCTGCTGTTGAAGGGGATTCCTAGTGACAGAGCACCGCCATACAGCCGCTCAGACCGCCGGTGCACAGGGTCTGAGAGGCTCCAACAGCAAAATAATATTATAATATTATAAAATATAAGGCAAAATCATAACCTTGATAAACTGACAGTACATATTTTTCAGTTTTCAGGTCGACTTTCTCTCTTAAAAACATATTTAAACTACTTTTTACCCACTAATAACAGCAAATACAGCAAAGCCGCTCTCTGCCATTGAACAAAGGAGCAGCAGAAGCATCAGACACATCTGGACACAGTTTACTGGATGCGCTTCAGGAGCGGCCAATATGCTTTTGACGCATGTCTGACCTTAATGTGTACAAGCATCAAAAATGAAGCAGCAGAAGCTTTTTTGCTTTGTTGCGGTCTGAATGTAGCATTTGTGCAAAGGAAAATCCCGATAAAATCACAAGATTAGTTGAAAATTTGGAATTTAGATTTTTGGTAAAAATTGTTCAGCTCTAATTAAAATACCATTTTTTTTATACTCAGAGAGACTAAAATGATCATATTGAATTAGTTTTTTAAAAAATATATTTTTTTTATGAAATTGGTCTTTAAGCTGGGAAAACATCATATTTAAGGGCATGATATACTGTCAAGTAGAGTAAAAAAAATGTAAATAAAAGCAATAATTTCACCAATTTGATTATTGCAAAGAAATTCAGGGTGTTTGTGTTTTTCTAAGGATTTATTTGTTAGATACTTTGTTGTTGTGCTTTCTTTTTTAGGAAAAATGAAGAAAATTGACTTGGGAGTCAACTTTTAATTTATATACGGTATTTTTAATCTGATGTCAAATGTCTCTTTCAGACTTCTCAGACAGAATCAGTAGAAGCAGAAGAGTGGGATATGAATCAGGAGAGTTTGAAATCGTAAGTGCTGTTAAAATGTATAGATGTTTATTTTATATATTTTTTTAAAATAAAGGTAAGTACTTTTCTCAATAATGAAAGATTGAACATGCAGAAGGGTTTCTGTTTACTTTGTTTAATTGGGGCAAGGAACCTGCAGTGGTTGATTTTTTTTTTTTTTTTTTTTTTGTCTGTTTTTTATCTTCTTTCAGCTTGGTGAGGGAAGCGGTGTGAAGGAAACGCCGCAGCAGAAGTATCAACGCCTCGTTAATGAGATCCAGGAACTCGTTCAGGAGGTGGACACCATCCAGGTGCACTGCTAGCAACACATTTGAATTCATCCACCCTAAAAGAAACCTGAAAACAATTTTTTATCAAGTTTTTTTTTTTTTTTTCATTTTTATTCTATAATTCTTTTCTATCTAATGGTATTTAAAGGTTTGGATATGGATGTAATGAAGCTTCAAGCTGACCCTGTAATTGAGCTTAGCAAAAAATTTATCTCTATTGTCACTTACTAACGAAGTTTCCATTAGGCAGCTACTAATAAAACACACTAAAGCTACTCTGTTCCCCCAATAATCAATTACAGTTTGAGCTGTCTTAAGAGGCTGCAAGTATTCTTTCTAGTGGTGGGACGCGATCAACATTTTTAATAGTTAAAAACAGGGTTCACACATTTCAATCGAAAAACCATATATTGACAGAATAAATAAAGCTTTCGATTCAAAAACCCTTTTTGCTCCTCCATTTTATAAACAAACATATGAGCACATTAGCACATATTTTTCTGTTTAATCTACTATCTAGGTTATTTGGTCATCAGATTGGTTCATATTTAGTCATTTAGCTTTATTTAGAAACCCCAAATATTTTATGCAACTTCTTTGAAAAACTCTTCTATAGAAGTGTTAACTGTTTATCAACATTAATTGTATCAAAAACACTTCCACTAAATATAGTAAAAATGTATATAAAGAAAAGAGGAACACAACATTGCCTGTAAGAGTTGCTATAAACAGAAGTTAAAGTTCTAAATCAATTAAGTTGGTGACATATCAGTTTTGAGCTCCAGTTTAAGCTGCCCTGTTACTCCAAAACAGATCAAAATGTAGTTAGCCAGGACGTAAGATCAGGATTTAGTGAAATAAAACAATGACCTTGTTGTGTAGTTGTTGTAACCTGACATAAAAATTATTTTCATTGATGGACTCTTTAATTTCATCACCAATTTCACTTTCTAGGCTGCTGCAAAGGACAGCAATGCAGAGGAGCGCCTCACCCCGGTGGTACTAGCTCAGCATGCAGCGCAGCTCAAACAGCAGCTGGTATCTGCCCATCTGGATTCGTTGCTGGGACCACAGGCTCACATCAACCTGGCTGATCCAGATGGAGCGCTTGCCAGGTGAGATGAAGGCAGTGTGACAGGACAGCTTCCTTATTTACATACGACTGTCAAGCGTGTTCAAAGTGAGCTGCTGAAATAGAACAATGGTCCTCTTATTATTGATGTTTCTGAAGCACATAAACTCATGTTTTAATGGTCAACATGCTACTTTATGAATGCTTATTAAGAGTAGTTCATAAAATGATTTCTGGTGGGGGGAAAAAAGGTATTATGGCTGTTTTTTTTGTTTTGTTTTTTTTGTTTTTTTTTTTTTAGCAGAAAAAGTGTTTATTAGTTTATTAGATAAAATGTTACAGAGCTTATTGGGGAAATTTAAACTCCCTTATCAAAGTATTCTTTTAATATATATTTTTTTACTTGAATAACAGCCAATTGTGAGGTTTAAAAATGAAGAAAATATTGAATTATTGTAACGTTAGAAATTATACAAGGTTTTGAAAGTTTATTTCAGATTAACATTTAGAAAAAGGGTCAAACAGACCATTCATCAGAAGCTGTCGAAAGCTGTGATTTATAGAGAGGAGCTCTGTGGGGAGAAATATTATCTTTAATGATCATCTACATCTATCTTCTGATTAGGCCCAATCAATGGATTGTGAAAGACTCTCGTACAGATAGTCTCACCATTTTTTGATCACACAAGGAGACATGAAAATGTTGGAAATTGTGTTTTGTTATGTAGTGTGGTTTTCTGCGCTTACAGGATATACCCTAAACTGCCCTTTAGAGTAGAAAAAATGCATGTCATTTCCGCACAGATTGTATGTGCATTAAACTTACATCAAACTTAAGACTGCATGGTCCTGGAGGTGGTGGCATCATGCTGGGGGGATACTTTTATTTGAGAAGGCACAGGAAGGCCAGTCAGAATTGATGGGATGAAACTAAATCTAGGTAGATGCTGTAGAAGACTGGGGCCCTAAACATACATCTGGTTTGGATGAGAGTATTGTCCTTAGTTAGAATGGGACAGGAAAATACCATACGTAAATACTATAAAGACAAAACTTAAGGTATTAACTTAAAGTTGACTTCTTGTTTAGACACTGTTCATTAAATCTGGATAATTTGAGCTATTTTCTGGGGGGAAAAAATGGGCAAAAACTGTCTACAGATTGGAACATAGCTAAGTAGAAAGAAACGTGTTATTGTCTTTTAACTTCTGTGTCAGACTAATTTGTGTTAGTTTGTCCCAGAGCCCCAACAAAATGCACAAAACATATTGGTGGACATGTTATAAAGCTTAATGCTGGTGACTTCTATTGCAAGGCATGCTATTCTTCTCCCCTCTTTGGAAGGCTATAAAGTGAATGGTTAAACTCTATTCACCATTAACTTCAAATGCTGTTCAGACTGTTTAACATTGTCCCTGTAATAAGTTAAATACAATCACTTTCTACCATCTGTTTGGAGTTTAGTCAAACAGTAAAACCTAATGCATGAAAAGGAAAAAATGGCACAAAGCAACTTTTTCTAAAATTAAAATGTATATACAGGTGCTGGTCATAAAATTAGAATATCATGAAAAAGTAGATTGATTTCAGTAATTCCATTTAAAAAGTGAAACTTGTATATTATATTCATACATTACATACAAACTCATATATTTCAGATGTTTATTTTGTTTAATTTTGATGATTACAAATGACAACAAATGAAAATCTCAAATTCATCATATCAGAAAATTAGAATATTGTGAAAAGGTTCAAAATTGATGGCCCCTGGTGCCACACTCTAATCAGCTAATTAACTCAAACCACCTGCAAAAGCCTTTAAATGGTCTTTCAGTCTAGTTCTATAGGCTACACAATCATGGGGAAGACTGCTGACTTGACAGTTGTCCAAAAGACGACCATCGACACCTTGCACAAGGAGGGCAAGACACAAAAGGTCATCGCTAAAGAGGCTGGCTGTTCACAGAGCTCAGTGTCCAAGCACATTAATAGAGAGGCGAAGGGAAGGAAAAGATGTGGTCGAAAAAAGTGTACAAGCAAGAGAGATAACCGCACCCTGGAGAGGATTGTGAAACAAAACCCATTCAAAAATGTGGGGGAGATTCACAAAGAGTGGACTGCAGCTGGAGTGAGTGCTTCAAGAACCACCACACACAGACGTATGAAAGACATGGGTTTCTGCTGTCGCATTCCTTGTGTCAAGCCACTCTTGAACCACAGACAGCGTCAGAAGCGTCTTGCCTGGGCTAAAGAGAAACAGGACTGGACTGCTGGTGAGTGGTCCAAAGTCATGTTCTCTGATGAAAGTAAATTTTGCATTTCCTTTGGAAATCAAGGTCCCAGAGTCTGGAGGAAAAGAAGAGAGGCACTTCATCCACGTTGCTTGAAGTCCAGTGTAAAGTTTCCACAGTCAGTGATGGTTTGGGGTGCCATGTCATCTGCTGGTGTTGGTCCATTGTGTTTTCTGAGGTCCAGGGTCAACGCAGCCACATACCAGGAAGTTTTAGAGCACTTCATGCTTCCTGCAGCTGACCAACTTTTTGGAGATGCAGATTTCATTTTCCAACAGGACTTGGCACCTGCACACAGTGCCAAAGCTACCAGTACCTGGTTGAAGGACCATGGTATCCCTGTTCTTAATTGGCCAGCAAACTCTCCTGACCTTAACCCCATAGAAAATCTATGGGGTATTGTGAAGAAGAAGATGCAATACACCAGACCCAACAATTCAGAAGAGCTAAAAGCCACTATTAGAGCAACCTGGGCTATCATAACACCTGAGCAGTGCCACAGACTGATCGACTCCATGCCACGCCGCATTGCTGCAGTAATACAGGCCAAAGGAGGCCCAACTAAATACTGAGTGCTGTACATGCTCATACTTTTCATGTTCATACTTTTCAGTTGGCCAACATTTCTATAAATCCTTTGTTTTTATTGGTCTTCAGTAATATTCTAATTTTCTGATATGATGAATTTGAGATTTTAATTTGTTGTCATTTGTAATCATCAAAATTAAACAAAATAAACATCTGAAATATATGAGTTTGTATGTAATGTATGAATATAATATACAAGTTTCACTTTTTAAATGGAATTACTGAAATCAATCTACTTTTTCATGATATTCTAATTTTATGACCAGCACCTGTAAATTAGATTCATTATAATAATTGAACTTTATTGATCTCAGATTGGAGAAATTTACCTCTCATTAAATCCATCCCCATGGGAAGCAGTGGACTACTATTGTGTGGCGCCTGGGGAGAAATCAGGGGTTAAGGGTCTTGTTCCGAGACCCAGAGTGGCAGTCTGTGGGAGTGGGGCTCGAACCAGAACCTCAGGATTTCAAGCTTTATGCCCTAACCACTAGGAACAGCTATATTTCAGAAACTTGGGATTTTGAATTTGTATTTGTATCTTATGTTAGCACTGACATAAGGGGTTGAGCAACCCACTATTCCTGCCCTGGTGTTAGGGGAATGCAGCCAGACGGTCTAGGATGGGCAGACTGTGCTGGGAAATATGTCAAAGCCCAGCCTTAAACTGCAAAAAGGTGAAGGTTTTGGAACAGAAACTAGCAAACATGAGGGATAAAGCAATGAAGAGACAGACTCTCACCTTCAAGCTGCAGTTTAGACCCATTGGGGAGAAAGACAGACAGCACATGGGGCTGATAACTGCTTCGACTACACTGTATAATCAGTCTGTTTCCCTCTCCCTCCTGCCTGCAGGCGTCTGCTCACCCAGCTGGAGGCGGTGAAGGGCAGTCGTGGCAGCCCTGCAGGAGATGGCAAAACCTCTTCCTCAACAAAGGGTCCAGATGGAGTGGTGCTCTACGAGTTGCACAGCAGACCAGAGCAGGAAAAATTCAACGAGTCTGCCAAGGTAACATCCAGGTTAAGACAGCAGGGGCAAGTGCCTGGATGAGTGAAGTCTAAAATGTTTTTGTCACATGAGTCTCCCGCCGTGCTGTACTTTCATTCACATATCAGAACATTTGTTGGCAATAACCTGGAGAAAAGACAAAAATGGATCTCAATGCTTAGTGGGAAGCTGTTGTCGCTTCCAACCATGTGTCAGCTTTATTTCCATCTCCGTAGATGGCGGAACTGGAGAAGCGTCTAGCTCAGCTGGAGATCGCTGTTGGCTCAGGATCAGACAAGCAGGTACATCCTATTGGATTTTACCCACAAATCCCCCTAAAGGTTTTTGTCACACATGCCTATGTATTTGCCTCTCTTTAATCATCAAAAAGACAAATATTTCTACCCCTTAATATCCATCACTTTCCACAAGATGAAACTGAACCAAATATTTTACTTTTATTTAACAAAGGGAGTCTGTTCGATTGCTAAAGTCATTTTCTCTATCAGGGACCTCTGAATGCTGGAGTACAAGGAGCCAGTTTGATGGTAAGAAGACTCTTTTATTTGTAGAAGCTGTTCGGAGTTTATTACTGTATCTGTGACCGAGTAGCTGAAGAACTGGGTCATTTCTGAAAGGGGTCACTGGCTCCTTCCAAACAGAAGGAGAGAGACACTGGTGTGTTTGTAATCTAAGTGCATCTTTCATCTCAGGATACCATTGAGCTCCTGCAGGCGAGGGTCAGCGCACTGGACTCTGCTACACTGGATCAAGTGGAGGCAAGACTGCAGGTACAAACTCCTGAAATGCCTTAACACCCATATTCACAGGCTTCCATAGATTTCTTGAAATTTAGTGAATTAAAGAAAAATAAGTTCAAGACCCTGCAAGGTTTCTAAAAACTGTTTCTTGGGTTTGAAACTTCACACAATGAAATCTGTCAGGGTTTTATTCTTTTTGGTTCATCCTTCGCTGCATTCTTGTCTCTTCTATATAGTCAGCTTTGTTAACATGTGTAGCGGCTGAGTCATTGGTGCATGCAACCTTCTCTTGGATAAAATGGTGGATTGCCAGTGGATTGAGTCGAGCCGCTGTATAACGTTAATGCATGGACAACGCAGATTTAAAGAGCTTTAGCGATGCTGCATCGTCCAGCTCATCACAAAACTTTTCTTTTGACGTTGAAGGCATTTAAATAATTTCTTTAGTTCCTAATATTTATGTACGGGTCTCTGCAATGGTCGCTCAAGTCCCGGTATGTGATTGTAGCTCCTGAACTATTAATTTATTTGTGAATTCTAAGATTTCAATAGAATTGCTTGAATCTAACATTAGCTTAAGGAAAAAAAAACTATTCCACTAAAAAGTATTTAAGCTGTAGTTGTGTCGAATTGGATATTTGTGATGTTTTAGCTACAATTACAAACCAAAGATTGAAAATGGGGTTTAATTTTTGAAAGATGTCCAAAGAGAAATACAACTCTGTTTTGTCAATTGTTGCTTTTTTTTTCTGTGAACTGGAACTTGTGCAAAAATGTAATGAGAAGGTTTTCTCCTTTTCATGAGCACTTCAGAATTCTCATATGTTGTTTTTAATACTAAGACTTGGTTAAAAAAGCACTTTAGGCCAGTACATCTTTTCTTTTGTCAGTTATTTTCACTGGGATTACTTCATAAAGGCAGGGTGCTATCAATGGGTTTTAGATACTTCTATTCAATCTCATCAATTCATATAGTTTAGATGTGTAGACTTGATTTTTGTTCAACACTAGATGGCCACAGTGAGCATTTGAAGCTTATATGAGGCTTTATGAAATAAACCACATTTCCTAAAGAGGTTTGAAGCTTGAACAAAGCTTCATCTGGCCATTATTAGACATGTTAACCGGTAATGGATGTAAATATATGCTATATATTCCACCCACTTTTAATTTTGAATGTGATTCAACAACTTATGGCATTTTTGAGTTAAATGTGCTTTTTATTAAAATAGTTTAACGTATTCAGGAGTAGAAGTAGGAAAATACTGCATTCAATACATGAATTTGTCCAAAGAAGTGCTAGATTTTGATGTAAACAAAGATGTGGTAATCCTTTATTTTGATCAACAGATTTTCGTTGCAAATGTTTCAGCAAACTGGCATAACATTTAAAATTCACTGACTTTCTGATATTTGCTGCAGCATAACTGCTGGCAGAAGGATTTTCTTTTTATTATGTTTGAATTATCTTCTGCTTTTACTGTTAAAACAGCCCACTGTGTTCTGGAGAAATCATGTCTCACCCGCAACATTTTGATCATAGGCCCACCTTTAAGACAGCTTTTATTCATCTGACAATGTTTGCATCACATAATGTCTTTTTAAAAGGGCTCTATTGCTCATCTTGTAACTATTTCTTCCCTTGATGTCTGAATAAAAAATAGTACCTTTTTGTTGTTTAAATGAATCTTCTAGAGTGTCCTTGGGAAGATGAATGAGATTGCTAAGCACAAGGCAGCGATTGAAGATGCTGAAACACAGAACAAGGTCAGTAATCCTACTACATGCATCTGTGCTGCAAAAAGAAACATAAGTATGTTTTGTAAATTTGATGAGTCTGCTGTTTGTGTTACACTTTGGTAGCTTTGAAACAAAAGATGGATTTCTTCTAGCCATAGGAACACCAGGGTTCTTTGATCTACATTTACAGAAACTGTTAATCTGTGAGCTAAACAGACCTATTAAGTGAAAGGCTGTTAGCTCACTTGATGTGGGGAAAATTAGAAAAGGGACTTTTCTTATTTAAGTTGAGTGATTAATGCATGACATGTAGGTGACTATTTTTCATTTTAAATGTCTAAATATATATTTTTTAGTATTAGGGGAAAAAGTGCAGTGGGTTGTTGTAAAGAGTATCCAGGGCACTGGGGCTGGATGCCTTTTAATAAAAACTAGGTTTATTTCCCCATTAAATCAATTGACTAACATGATTATCATATGATGACTTTTTAAAAGTGATATTCAATAGGCCAGTAGAGGGCAGACCATTTCAGCTACACTATATTGCCAAAAGTATTTGCTCACCCATCCAAATTATTGGAATCAGGTGTTCCAATCACTTCCATGGCCACAGGTGTATAAATTCAAGCACCTAGGCATGCAGACTGTTTTTACAAACATTTGTGAAAGAATGGGTCGCTCTCAGGAGCTCAGTGAATTCCAGCGTGGAACTGTGATAGGATGCCACCTGTGCAACAAATCCAGTCGTGAAATTTCCTCGCTCCTAAATATTCCACAGTCAACTGTCAGCTGTATTATAAGAAAATGGAAGTGTTTGGGAACGACAGCAACTCAGCCACGAAGAGGTAGGCCACGTAAACTGAAGGAGCGGGGTCAGCGGATGCTGACGCGCATAGTGCGAAGAGGTCGCCAACTTTCTGCAGAGTCAATCACTACAGACCTCCAAACTTAATGTGGCCTTCAGATTAGCTCAAGAACAGTGCGCAGAGAGCTTCATGGAATGGGTTTCCATGGTCGAGCAGCTGCATCCAAGCCATACATCACCAAGTGCAATGCAAAGCGTCGGATGCGGTGGTGTAAAGCACGCCGCCACTGGACTCTAGAGCAGTGGAGACGCGTTCTCTGGAGTGACGAATCGCGCTTCTCCATCTGGCAATCTGATGGACGGGTCTGGGTTTGGCGGTTGCCAGGAGAACGGTACTTGTCTGACTGCATTGTGCCAAGTGTAAAGTTTGGTGGAGGGGGGATTATGGTGTGGGGTTGTTTTTCAGGAGCTGGGCTTGGCCCCTTAGTTCCAGTGAAAGGAACTCTGAATGCTTCAGCATCCCAAGACATTTTGGACAATTCCATGCTCCCAACTTTGTGGGAACAGTTTGGAGCTGGCCCCTTCCTCTTCCAACATGACTGTGCACCAGTGCACAAAGCAAGGTCCATAAAGACATGGATGACAGAGTCTGGTGTGGATGAACTTGACTGGCCTGCACAGAGTCCTGACCTCAACCCGATAGAACACCTTTGGGATGAATTAGAGCGGAGACTGAGAGCCAGGCCTTCTCGTCCAACATCAGTGTGCGACCTCACAAATGCGCTTCTGGAAGAATGGTCAAAAATTCCCATAAACACACTCCTAAACCTTGTGGACAGCCTTCCCAGAAGAGTTGAAGCTGTTCTAGCTGCAAAGGGTGGACCGACGTCATATTGAACCCTATGGATTAGGAACGGGATGTCACTTAAGCTCATATGTGAGTCAAGGCAGGTGAGCAAATACTTTTGGCAATATAGTGTATGTCACTGATTGAATGTAATGCTCTTATTTTTAATATAGTTATTGGGGATTGCAGCCTGGAGGCTGTAGAAACATGCTAACCTTTTCCAGAGGTGAATTTATGAGGTTATTTAACTTTTTTGTAGATAGCTTGTCTTTAGCTACAGTGATACATCATTTATCAGCCTTTTGTTGGTATTGTTTCTATTATTAAAAATAGGTAGATCAATAAACTAAGGATATAAAGCCACGAGTTCACGCTATTTTAGTATTTATCTCTATGCCCTCCATAGAGATTAAAAAATGAAATGGAAAAAAAAACTAAAGCTTGGTTGTCCAAAACTAGAATATAGTAAAAAATTAAATAAACCAGTCAGTTCCCATTGTATTTTAATTGGACTTAGTATTTTCCAAATACAAACCAATTTATTTAATCAATCAACTAAAACAGACAGTCAGTTACAAATAACATATCACAAAACAACCTCTAAGTTCCAAACTCGCCATGAGTATTTAAAATAATTTAATTTTTACTCTTTAAATGATATATTTACTTGTGGGGCACACTTAACATTTTAAACCCCAGCCCTTTTATTTTATGCGGTGTGTAACAGAAGCAGACATTCTTTAGTTGGTTTGGTCTGTCATCCTGAGCAGGGACAGCTAACTGTGCTCTCAGGTCGTTCAGTCATGAAATAAAACCCAGTCTGTTGGGGTGAGATGTGTCCCCAGTTTTGAGGGATTCTCTCTCCATCTCTGACAACTGGATTTAAGACCATGTGAGCAGCTTGGTTTTGTAGATGGGACAATGTTTTTGACTATTTACAATTCTTTATGTGTACTTGTCAGGTGTCGCAGCTGTACGACGTGGTGCAGAAGTGGGACGCTGTGTCCACCTCCATACCTCAGGTGGTGCAGAGGCTTGTTGCTGTGAAGGAGTTGCATGAGCAGGGTAAGACTTTAGGAAAAGCAACTGACTGCTTGGCAGAATCACTCTTTGCACTAATTTACATACATTTACAGTCTTTAAACTAAAGGATCACCTTCCCAAGGCAAAAGAAAGCCCTCAAACATAAAAGTACAGTATTGGTTTATATTGCAAATGTTGTAATAATATTGCATTTCAGGCAAACCTTACATAAGTTGGAAGCAATAACACTGGGATCTTTCCCATGGTGTTTTATTTCAGGGTAGAAAAACCTTGAAATGAATCCCATGAGAGTTAAGTTTTTGTTTTTTTTTTCACTGGTTAGTAGGGGTGGGATTAGCCATACTAGAGCATTTTAGATTCTCATTGTTCAGGAAGTTACCACAGATCAAAACAGCTTGATCAGTTCCAGCTATTTCCTGATTAATATCGAAAATGTAATCCAAAAGGGAATTTTTGAGTGAGGCAGAAAATGAAAACAAAAATACAGTTGAGATTGAGACAGGCGATACAGTTAAATCAACACAATCTCGTTGGAGAACCCAGTACTGAAAAGCAGAGACATTTCAAAGCTACCATTTATTCTCCTTTTATTAGTATTAAAACAAATATATGAACTTGTAATCATTTGAACACTCATTACTTCACATCACACAAACACGTCGGTTTTGTCTGTTTTTTAAGGAGGAAATAAATATCCTAAACTTTGTTTGACTCTGTCCTTTTTCACTCATCTGTGTCTGACAGCGATGCAGTTTGGCCAGCTGCTGACTCACTTGGACACGACTCAGCAGATGATCAACAACTCTCTGAAAGATAACAACACCCTGCTAACACAGGTAGGAAGTTTACTGCTGCTGGATCGGCTGCAGCAGCATTAATCTTATTGAACAATGGCTGGAGATGTGGAACTGGATTGGTGGAGAGTTTTTCTCTTAAGTGAAAGACACAAATATTAAATTATAATGCAACATAAACATGATGGATATGCTCATTTCATTTTAGATCAGGTAGAATATATTGCTAGAAAACATTTTCATGTTAAAGAGTTAATAAGCTCTTATAAAATCAGTCTTATCAGCTATTTAATGTATGGATTAATTTGGGGATCAAAGACTAGACTAGTGCACAGGTTGTTTTTGATATTTCAGGGCTTTTCTAAGGATCTTCTCATTTAGTTTATATACTTTGTTACCATATGTTTATAAGAGGAGAGGTATAAACATAACTTTACTGGCCTGCTTACCAGATTTCAGAAAGTGTAATCTACATCTGCTTTAGGTTTAGTTCTTTTTATCACGGAACATCTTTTCTCCCGGGGGATCTTAGGTTAGCATTTGTTTATCCTACATAAACTCATATTAACATCTAGCTAGATCTAGCTTATTGGAGTAATAAACAACAGAACTTATCTTCCTCAACTGCCCTCCCTCCATAGAGGCAGCAATAAATATGATTGAGCCTTTTTCCTTTTTGGTAAGGTTGGGTTTTAGGGCTTGGAAGGTTTTAATGCATCCTCTGAGGCAGTTATGTGAACTTGGGTTAGATTACAAGAAAACTCGTTCCTTTGCTTATTTTTCTCTGGCAGAAAGGCAGAGATCAGCAGTTGCGGCTTAAGGAATAGCTAAAACACATCCAGTGTTGCTCAGTCAGATCGCAATATAAGTAACAGCTGGATTTTTGTTTTTCTGTTTCTTTTTGTTTCTTCAGATTTAGGGGAGAGAAAAAAACTTGAAACTGTCCCTTTATCAAACTGCTAGAGTGCATCAAATCACAGAAATCACTTGATAATGAAAGCTTTCTGTGTTTTATACTTTGGGTGTGGCTGGTGTTTTAATCTTTTTTTTTTTTTTTTCATCCAGACATTTCTGTAAAATTGATCAAATTTAAAAAGTGGAGCAATTTTAGTTGTGCTGAACATTTTTTTTTGAGTAAATTCCATGGCACGTTGTGGGGACTGGCTCCTTTTTGGGCCCAAAATGCTTGAACACCACAGGGGGAATTGCTGTTTTTAGGTCAGGGGTCTAGGAATAAGGTGTGAATTGAGTTTTGGTTGGGCTTAGCCTGTAGATATTAATGGAAACAAATGACAAATCATTTTCCTTGCATTAATGAACCATTATGGACACTTTAAAGGTGTGTTTTTAACCTCTGAAACAGCTGTTTTTTGTTTTTTTATCCACTAGGTCCAGCAGACAATGAAGGAAAATCTGGTGGCTATTGAAGAGAACTTCGCAGCTCTGGATCAGAGGATGAAGAAACTTTCCAAATAAACTGTGGCCGAGTTTGAAATGGTCCAGGAGAGAGTAGAGCATGGACAATAAATGTTTGGTTAGAGAGCACAGATCCGCAGTGTTTAGGGTGTAACCTTTTTGGGTTTTGGACGCTCCTCTCTTGCTCTTGACTTCAGCCTCTGCCTTTTTTCACTAAATGGAATGTTAGAAAGTTGACAAGATGAAGAAAACAAAAGGAGACCAAAAGTTCTTCAGACGTCCACGCTCATTTCCTCTTCCTTGAATAAAACTGATGTAATTTAAAAATAACCTTAATTCCAAACATCCAAGCAACAGCAGACTCCTGTTAAGCTTATCAAGTTTTAGACTGGACCTTTTGTTTTTTTATTCATGTTAAAGGTTCTCCTACTTCTTCTCGGGAGGGGTTACACTAATAGTGGATTTGTACTGTAACTTTGGATAAATAAATAAATGAATCCCAGTTTGGTTGTAAGAGGAAAAGTCAGCTCTTAAATGTATTTAAAATTAAAACCAATTGTCCTTTATTGTATCAGAAGCACGATGGGGAAGGAAAGCTTGTAAATATGCCGGTGTACCTTATTGTTTGTTCACGCTCGGTTGCTTGTAACTATATTATTATGACCGAGACACAACAGATCAACTTTTAATCTGCTTTCTCATTGCTTAAAACATTACTGTTCATCTGTGGTCACCGACGCTGATCAATAAATCAAGATGTCATAAATCTGGCTCCATTTATTTCATAGCATTAGGCTAAGACAAAAAAAAAAAAACAGTTTGTCAAAAGTAGTTATGATATATATTCAAATAAAGGGATTATAATTAGGCTCAGATGAAGTAATGACTACTTTAAAAAACCATAGAAGAAAATGGGGAAAATAAATCCCTTTGAAAAAAATATTGCCCTTATAAAGAGCGAAAAGAAAAAACATTTCTAGTTGCTCTACAATGTATGGCCACATGGTGGCAGTATAGTGTGTAAAAAGCCAACAAAGCAAATGTATAGATATGAGGTTTATTCATAAAGCTCCATTCATATTCCATTTTAAAACATTTGTTTAGTTATTAAATAGTTCTGTATAGCTAAATGTTTTAGAAATTAAAAAAATATCAGATATCAGTATTTAAAATGGTCAGCTCGATAGACCATTTCTAAATATTTAAAAACCTGTCCTAACACACCTGAAAGCCCTTATTTCTCTTCTGAGCTTGTACTGGTTAGTTGTGTTCACACAAAGACTGTTACAAAAACCGAATGAATATATATATATATATATATATATATATATATATATATAATTATTATTATATATTTTTTTTTGTAACATGTATTCCTAAAGGACACATTTGTGTCAGAGGTCAAGCTCAAATCCTCCTGGCATTTAACGTATGTAAAGTATTCCAGCAAAATGTTGCCTCATGTTTTAGGTCAGGTTACGGTAGGGAAAAAGGTGAGTACATCATCCCCTGTGAGTTTTGTTAGCGGATGATTCAAGGTGGAAGTTTTTGGCTTTACATTAGTCAATTAGAAGTAAAATGATCAATTCTAATCTTTATCTTTGTATTAAAACACATATGATGAAGAGGACCAGCCAGTTGACACCAGATGTATCAAGTGTAACATGCAGGGAATTAGATCTGGGGCTCCAACTGGGAGGGGAATGCTCCGCATTAACACAGACAAAATTTCTACATATGTTATACTGCATTTGTCTTTCTCTTATCTACGAAGAGACATTCTAAATTCCTTACAAATCAAGTATTTATTTATGGGGAGAATAAATTAAAAAACAGGAATCCTTTAAATGGTCATAGACTCAAATCCATAATTAATGGCTATGATTGGTTAAACACTTTTTTTTAAATCTAGCAGTGGATTTGGAACCTTGATTACACCTCTGGTCAAAGTAAATATATAAGGTATGTGGGAGACTATAGCAGTGGGTGCTGGGTGCATGGATTTCTCTCTTAAAAAAAACAAAAATCTCTTTCTGGTGCTGATATGGGAAAAACTTCAAAAAGGAAGAAAAGGATGGTGTAAGAGTCGGGAGAATGTGTTTCACTGCCAGTAACCCACCTGTTCAGATGGGCATTTAAACTTTTATGACCCACAGTGTCTTGTCTTTTTCTACCTGGTTCTTGGTCTTCTTAACTCTGACAGAGAACAGAACGAACAAATCAGAGAACCGATAGTAGCTCTGCATACAGAGAACACATCCTGTCTTCTACTAATATTTTAAAAATAGGGTAAAAGGGTTTCAAAGATTTAAATAAAATTATAATCAGGGTTACCAAATGTAAAGAAAATATACATAGTAGAAATGTTTGCAATGGAAATAAAACTGGAACAAAAGGTTATAAGAATAAATACCGGCTGATGTCAGAAACCTGAAATCACACACAGTCACTCTGCATCAGATTTTCTTGAATGGGTCTGGACAGGTGGGAAGGCTGTTGTGAGGCAGATTGATGAGAGAAAAGGTGAGCTGGTGTAAGTGGAGTAAAACGGGGTGACTGGCCCGCATTCATGAGGCTTGTAGTGAATAAAAACAGGCAAGATGGAGAAAAAGTAAAAATACATGCAACGATTAGAAGACTGATAAAGCTGTCTGCAAACACAAGCAGGTCAACAACCTGGCTGCCAAATCTGGGCAAACTCTTAATGAGGGAAACTTGGCCAAAAATAAAAATCCTGTTAGCATTTATCACTTTTTTGTCTGCGTTATGTGAGCTCTTGATATCTTAAACCTGTGAAAATAAAATACGAATGAGTTGAATGAGGACGCCATCGCACACCAGAGAAAATCAGTAAATGTCTCAGGTCAGATGAACACAAAAACAACTGAAATACAAGTTGTTTAAAAAAAAAACGAATCTCCAATTTAAGGCAACACTAGTGAGCAGTAAAAAAATATATATATATTTTAAAAAAAAACTTAATGTAAATGTATTTCTGCTGCTGTTTAGCAGACACGAGAGAAGAGAAGAAAAAAAAAGAAAAGAGAAAGGACAAGCCAGGATTCCATAAAACAAAAAGGATCGACTGTATCACCAACAGCTGTATCGTTGGTCTCAGTTCAGAAAGGGGAAGGATTTCGACAGCTGCTAAGTGTTTATGTGTGTGTATGCGGAGAAACTGGGTGTGGAGCTCTGACCAAGGGCATGGGACAGAAAAAGAGGGGAGTGGGGTATGGATGGCTGGAAATTCCCCAGACTGCTTTGTTATCAGCCTATAAAACTAGAAATACAGACAAAATCTGATTATGAATTAACTCTAAAAATAGTATTCTCCTTCCAGTATTAACTGTTCTTACTGTGTCTATTCTTTGTCTAAATGAAATCAATATGTATAAATGATATATACACATATATACATAAAGGATTTGTTTTTAGCAACTATGGGACTTCCCATTGACATTTATTTTGAGTAATAACTTTAAGGCAGGAGCTAATGGCTGTTGCTTATTTGAAAATAAAGAGATAAGGCAACATTTCATCAGCAATTCCAAAAACAAATGAAAGAAAAGCTGATTGAAAGCTCTGATCCACATGGACAGATAGAGTGTGGTTTGTTTACATGCGGTCCGCTCAGAGCATGAGTGAAATACAAAAGCAAGAACAACACAAGATGAATTCTATCTCTTATTTATATTATACTGCATCTTTGATTGTTTTGTATTTTTCAACCCAAAGTAGAGCAGTTAGACTAGACCTGCTTGTAAAGAAAGAAAGGACCGTGATAACAAGTCCCAACTCTTTCTGACAATGTAATTCAATCTAGGCAATGGGCTCTAAAGCTGTTTCATAATAACACAAGGCAGACAACGGCTCTGACAAAAACAAACAGACGGGCAAGCATGGAAATGGGAGGGAGGGGTGCGGAGAAAGTATGCTGAACTACTCGGCAACAGCCACTCAAGTCGTGACGTGTCTGGGTGCTTCCTGCAGCGCTTTAACCCGGGTCCTAGAGACAGTATTTGAGCTTTCTATTCGCTACTTGACGCTGTTGCTATGGGGGCTGCGCGCGGTTCGCGGCGCGTGGAAAAAACTGTCCGAGCGCGTGCCCGCGTGTGTTTGGCGAGTTCGGGGATGAGGAGAGAAGTGTCAGAAACATCAAAAGTGAAACCTGATGAAACTCGATTTGAATCCGTTTTTTTTTTTTTTGGTCGCCGCTTGTTGTTTATCTGATCATATGAAGACATTATGTCTTCTTAAAGTTCGTATTTAGTCGATAATGGTACTTGTATTGTGTGGTTTTTTTTTATTATAAACTATTTTTATTTTATTTTATGTATCCATTTATTGGACCATGAGTCCGGAATAAAGTTTTTTCTTATCTTATGGTGCGTTTTATACAATGACCTCGGTGAACTTTGGAAATGTTTCCTCAGATGTTCTGTCAAAGTTTTACTGCGCTGTAATTTAGTCACTAAACTATTTTAGCTCCATAAAAAGCTTTTTCAAATAAACAGAATTCTTTTATGTAGCTCCATCAGACAGTAGGTGTGTATATGTGTCACTAAATTATTATTCATAATTTTATTGTCATTGTTTTCCTTTATTAGTTATTGTCATTATTTATGTTTACCCTAAATATGACATATTATTTTTTTTACTTTATTATTTTTAAATAAAGTATCAAAAGAGCAATAGTTATTTCAGTTTTATATATTTTGTTAATTTTACATATTCTAATTAGATTTGAGAAGTACTTAATAAATATTTTCATTTAAAATATTTTCATATAGCTCATCTCAATATTTGCAATACTTAATATTAATTTAAATAGAAAATATATATTTTTTTCATATATATATATATATATATATATATATATATATATATATATATATATATATATATATATATATATATATATATATATATATATATATATATATATATATATATATATATATATATATATATGTGTGTCTTTACAGAAACTTTATTTTCCTAAAAGAACAGTTTAGTCTTAATAAATTAATTGTCATACAGAGCAGAAAATTCTGCAAAAGGTACGACCGGAAAAAAAAAATGGGAGGTATTCTTCATTAAAATATTGGACTTGATTGTTTTATTATTATTCTATTTCTGATAAGATAAAGTTTTATCCTGTTGATTAGTGTAAAAAGAAATAAAAATGTATGGATAAACTGAGCGATCATTACTGATAGAGCAAGGGTCACGCAACAGAGAGAAAGATTGAATAAAAGTTTCAATCACTGGGTAATGAATTCTACCAGGTTTCATCATCTACAACAAAAAAAAGAAGAAAATAAGGGACAGTGTACTGTCAGCTCACACCCAGCCCCGCCTAATTGTAACAAAGATATATTGACAAATATATATTATAAATATAAGATATATTTTACAAATACTGACGACAGTCCACAGCAGTAAGGTTACTTTAAAGCAAGGAGCACACAGGTGATGGAATGTCAGACTGCCGTAAAGCAGGTGTGGTCACACACACAAACTTTACACAAACAGCTCAAATAGGAAAACTTCGGATGGCAACGTAATTAATAAGCACGTCACGAGCTAGTAAGCGCTAAATTGATTGGTTGGATGAAAAAAGGGAAAAAAAACAACATTCAAAACAGTTGCCTAAAAATAATCGATTGAGCTTTTATGTTCCGGAAGAAAATGCAATTCTTCGACATTAGATATCCATGCATATATTTATATTTTTAGATTTTTGTTAGAGCCAACAGTGTTTAATAAAACATGTTCTGATTCTGCTGGTGTTATCCCCAGCTAGAAATTGGTTGCCAAGCATTGCATCATTCCTTTCATGTGACTCCCTTACGCCCCAAATTCGTCCTGGCCGTCTTATGACTGCATCACAGCTGCTGCTCGCACAAACTATACAGGCGGGAAGGAACAGCCAGATACTCACTACAAGCCCCGCCCAAACTGTCGATTCCGATTAGCCTATTGGATATCACCAAGGCAAAGCTCTAACCTCCGCTCTTCTGATTGGACTGCTCTAATGTCGGTCCTCCTGTCAAGCTAGATTGTGATGAAACTAACTTCCCATGCATAGTTCGGTTGACTTTTCTCCCTATATAAAAACACCACCGGGAGTTTCCGTAAAATCACATTCAGCCATCAAGACTGAACAATGGTTAACATGAGCTATCACCAATTTTTACTAAAATATCTACAGTCGAATTCTAGACAATCGAGAAGGCGAGCGAATAGAAGAAAAAGGGTAAGGAATGGCTGCTTTTTTTCTCGTTGTTTTGTGAACTTGAAGTCTTCGTGTGTTGGAATGAAGGGGGAAAATAGAACGTGTATGTTTTTTGGCAGATATCCCGGTGCCATTTTTAGGATAACAGTTGTCTTCATCTGTCATTATCAGCATAGAGCCAATTTATGGGTTGTCCTTGATTACCAAGCTCGACCGTTAGTTTAAAGCGACACAAATATTGGGAATGGCTGGCTATGTAAAAGGACTTTTATAATAGTTTTAGTTCCCGTATTCACTATTGACAACTCAAGTTGTTGTTCTTTCAATAAGTAAGACTCCTAAGCTAAAACATTTTTTGTGTAAATTAGCAGTTTATTTTCTGTACATCTTCCTAGCTTCCAGCTGTGAATACAGATGTTTGGATTTAGTTTTCCAAACCCACTCCTTTCTGTGCCTTTTGTTGCGCCCATTTCTTCATCTGGACTTTGATTTCCATGACGTAATTGTCTTGCGTTACAGTTGACATACATCTCAACTTAAACAAGAAAACTGCTTACTTTATACTTTATCTTCAAATGGCATTTAATTAATAAGAAAATGGTCGATTTTGATTGAATTTCCTGTAAGAACATTTAAAGGAAATCAAATAAAAGGGTTCACCGTAAACCGAATCACAACTAATAATTGTTTAACGTTAAATAACTTCAGATAGAATTCAAAAATATATAAAATATATAACCGACTTTAAATATCAGCCTCATTAGGACTTTGTTTGGTGGATTAAAATCATTATTAGTCAATTAAACTGATGTTAAATAAAAAATGAAGACAAAGCCTAGTCTGACCTGTACGGATTCCAGCGCTTCCTTGTCTTCTCATCTTGTTTATCTACCTGGTGTGTATTAGAGTGCAGGCGAAAGTAGGGGGCGCAGTAGAGAGCATGTTTTGTCTTTGTTTACAACAATTTAGGAAAATAAATCTCTTATTTTTACAATGCCTACAAAAATATTTTGAAATGAAATGGTATTGTTTTTTTTGTCTTATAAACTACATTATTTATTTCAAGCAAACAGGGTCAGACCTTTTGTTTCCAGTCTGAGCTGTTTTAACTTTAATCTCGATATTATTTTGGAAAATATACAATCCTTTATCAATTAGTCAGGGATATTACAAATGTAATAACATCTAACATTTTACATGTTTTGTTTCAGATTTATTGGGATAAGCTGTCTCCAACAAATTGTCAGACTTGATTAACAGACTTCTAAGGTAAAGTTAAACTCATATTTGACACGTAGTTTTGATTGAAATGTGAATTGTTTTGTTGAGTTAATAAGAGTTATTACAGTTCAGATTAAGTAGATTATTTAATAGTCCAACTTTGTCTAGTATGGTTTGTCATGGGATAAAAACAGATTTAACACTTTAATCAAACCTGTTGCAGAATAATTATGAATTAAATGTTATAGAGTTCGTTTTAATGAGACAGTTATCAATTGTTCTGCACCTCTCCTCCCCCCAATGTTTTTTTTCTAACCCTCTTGGGTCTGGTGACTTCCCTCCCCTACAGGTCCAGTTTAAACCGTGTGGCCGAGTATCTGTGTGTTGAGACTGATTGGCGAGATGACTGCCGAGTGGCTACACCTGCCCCCGCCGTACCCCCCTGGAGTAGGGCCGTTGTATGGTGCAGAGTTGGAGGCGTGGTATGAGGACCTGCAGGATATTCTGGGCTCCGACACGGGAGGGGCAAAAATGGCACGTGCCCCCACATGCACCGAGGTCAGTAGTTTTTACAGACAAAATTATAACAGCCTCATGAGTTTGTTTTACTGCACTCCTTTTCCGTATTTATTGCTGAAATTATAATATTTTTCATTTCAACTTTTTCATCATAGAAGGAGCCAGAGTTTCTGGATGTTCTTGAGAGTTGTTCTCTGACGTGGCTGACTGACGGAAACCAGACGTGGGCTGAAGGCGTCCAGAGGACAACAGAGGAGAGCCACACCATTCAGCCTCTGCATCACACTTCTTCATCGTCGTCCTCTTCTTTGTCGTCCTCCTCATCCTCCTGCATGAGTCCAGCTGTTGCAGAGGAACGTCAGGTGGAGGCTGAGTCTGGGAGAAATGCAGATAGCTCAACAGGAGGCGGCAGCGACTTGCTGCCTCCGGAATTCTTTGAATTGCTGAGTGAAGGAGGCGTGGGAATGGTGGATCCGAGTGGAGCCGTGATCAGCAGTGGCTATTATTATCACCAACACCACCCTGCAAATAAAGTCCATCCTGCATCTCCTTCAGCCAGTGAGGAGGAACTGCCCTGCGTGCCAGATTCTCCATCCTGTTCTTCTTCAGCTTCCCAGTCACCATCTCAAAATTGCTCTCCTCCCTCTTCACCTGTCTCCTCACCCTCAGGCTATTCGTCCTCCCGTTTGGGAAAACGAAAGAGGACCACCAGCGAGAGGGCTAACAGTGCCTTGTCCTTCTCCATGCAACGTTCATCTTACTCCTCTACCAAAAAGAGCCGCAAAGAAAGAGAGCAAGAGAATGAGCGAAAGGTGCAAGAGCTGACAGAGCAGAATGAGCGTTTGAAAGCAGAGATTGAAAGGCTAGGAGAAGAGGTCCAGAGGACACGGAGAGCTCTGATTGAGAGGCTGGTCAACACCAGGAAATGAGGACAAGAGAAAGGAAGAACATGAAAGAAGAATAAAAAAAATAAAAAAAACGGGTCCTGTACAATTAGAAAAAGCTATGGTGGGGAAAGATGTAAGGCAGTTGTAAAAGGTTTTCTGGAGGACGGATACCAAAGAATTATTTTCTTTTTTCACAAGGGATGGATTTTGGTAAAAAAAAAAAATAAGATGAGGGAAGAAAGTAATGAAAGTCAAGACTAGAGGGTACAGAGAGAGAACAGGCTGCAGCAGCATTGCGGCAAATCAAAAGAAACAGCATGTCTGAATGAGGAAAGAAAGCTTGAAGTGCAAATCATGCAGCGGATTTAATGAATGTAATTTTAAGGAATGCAAAAAAGTTCCATGAAATGGAATGAACAGGTGCTGATTTGGATGTCTAACTTAGAGGTGTTAAGGCTTGAGCGAACGTCAGTGTCATCTTATTCCCACCATACTGCAATAAAATTGTAACTCCCCAATTTTAAGGGCTACAATCAGGCTCACAGAGATTATTTGCCCCATTTTTTTGGGAGAGTTTCGGAGCTCAGGAAAGTTTAGAAAGTGCCCAGTGCAGTGTGAGTATGAGATTTTTTAAAAGAAAAATAAAATACCTTTTTTTAACTTTGTATAACCCATGGCTCATTTGTTCTTGTATTTAGATAAAACAAGTAACCTGCCTATCATTTTAATGCTGAGCTTTTCTATTATGGGAATCTGAGGCAGAAATGTTTATTAGTTCTTCTACTCTGATTTACTATTTTTATATAAACTGTAATATACTCTTAAATACAATTGTACTGTTATGGCTTGTGCTGTATTATTCAAACATACTGTTTATTTCTTATTGTAGTAAAAATTATTTGTAATTCCTAAATATGCATGGATTTTATCACTCATGGCATACAATTCTTTTTTTTATTGTAATTACAAATTTGCAATAAAAATGTAATCAAACTCTTGCATTTTTTTTCTTTGTCAAACCTGTTTTTGTTTAAACACAAATCAAGGCAACAAAGGCAATTTCCTTTGCTTTATCAGTTTATTTTATGAAATCAAATGGATATTTGCACAAAGATTTTTTTCCCCCAGAGGATATAAAAACCATCTGAATACATACAAACATGCCCTCCAAATTCTAATATCAAATGCTGACTTGAACACAGGGAGAGTATAAAAATCAGTGTCTCTTGGTGTAGGGATTTGGAGAAATCCTCCCTTTCTGTATCTGTATTCATTTGACTGTCTCTTTGTGCGTTTTCATTTCCCCGCCGGCCAATCCAGCATTTCATTAGTCCTCGGTGCCAACACCACATTGTCTTAGATCCTGTTACGGCTTAGCCTTAAGCTAATACCCTCATCTGTACATCTTGTTTCCATTCTCCCTTCCACTGACTAACCTTCATTTCGCTTTTCTTTCTTACTTCTTCTTGCCTTTCTGAGCTGCAGGTTCAGGGCTCTTCCCTTCAGCAAGAGCCAGTTGTTTCTTAAGATCTAAAAGTTTGGAAACCTCTGCTGCGATCACATCCTTCTCTGCTTTCTGGGATTTGAGCGCTCGTACCTTGTCGCCCTGTAATAAATAAAAAATCATCTTCGTTAGAAAAAGTAAATGTCTTGCAATTAAAACCATTGGTTTAGAAAGGACTTTTGAATATCAAATTAAGAGGTTCCTTAATTTTTTTTTAAATAAAACATTTCATAACTGTAATAGGAAAAATACAAGCGGTCCTAAACAGAAATGCTAATAAATGTTACCGTTGAATGTGTATCACACATGAACAACAGAACTTTCTAATCAAGACAGGAAAACAAAAATAAAAAAAGGAATATTGGAAAAACTATTTCGGACCTAGTTTAATAAGATTTAGCTACATGCTAGCAATCTAACCTGTTCCGCTACAGCTTTTGCAAGCTGCTTAGCCTTCTCTGGGTCCGCTCCGACCCCCGTTTTTACTTCAGCAACAGCGGGAGGAGCGGGAACAACAGCGGGCTGCTGACTGCTGGCAGTGATCTGAAAGTGTAAACAGATGAAGACGTGAGGCAGGTGTTTCAGTGGTTATTTATCCTGATTTGTTTTTGCAATTACTCAAACGCGTTTGTAAGATTCTGCGATTTGTAAGCTGGCAAACGGCAAATCAAACCAAGATTAGTAAAAATTCAAAACATTAAATTAGCTGCAACTGTTAATGGCATTTACTAATCTAAAATGACAAGCAGCACCAGTGTGGACCCACTCTTCACAAACAAACGCCACTCAATACCTTCTTATTAGATGGTTCGTCTTCTGGCTGGAGGCAAGGATTAACAAGGATTATTTTTATCTATATGATGGATGCACCATTCATAATTTATGCATTTTAGACACATTTTCTCCCCATCTTGTTTAAAAAAAAAAAAAATCCACCTCAATTATGAGTCAATTCTAATCCATGATGACAGTCTGAGAACAGCTACACGTTTTATATTTTTATTTCACTTTTCATAAATGATAATGAATCTAAATCAACAGATAACCAGACTAGGCTCATGCGCAGACCATTAGGCATCATAAACGTCAAATTACCTGCTGTCCACCAAACCTCTTCTTCAAAGCTTCGATCTGATCCGCCTCCAGTTTCTGGAATAACGGACTGACCTGGGAATAAAAAAGATTGGGAAACAGGGAAGGTAGTGAGAGACGAACATTAAAACCGATACATATGCAGGAATTTAAAAAAAAGGCATTGAGCCCAAGGCTAACAGAGCTCATCTTTGAATAAAGTGGATTACGCAAGAAAGTCAATAATTTCCAGAGAGATTTTTTATGTAAGTTTTAGGTCATACTTAATGAAATACTGCACTACAATGAAGGAGTGTCTACATAAGCTTTTTATGCTCTTGTCTTTCTCATACTCATTTCTCACCAGACATGCCAGCCTAAGTGTTTGAATGAAGCATGTGCAGGCTGCTCAGACAAGATACCACAATTAGTGATATCTTGCTTCTCAAATGGCCTGAGAGAAATGTGTTGTTTGCTGGTAGTTGAAGGCCTCCTCACACTGCCTAACCCATTATTCAAAAGTTTGTGTGTGTGTGTGAGTTGGTGTGTGTTCACAAATCTGCAACACTCTCGACAGTCCTGAAATCGTGACAGACTGTTGCGTTCTCATTGTATCACCCTGCTTCGACAGTACAGCAGGTTTGTGTGTCTGCACAGGTGCCACTCGTGTTTTTTCGCATTAGTGGAGGTCATACTCACGGTGCCGATGCGGTGACCCGCTCTCAGGGCGCACACGAAGGAGCCGGGGCCTAGCAGCATGGTATTGATGCAAGACTGAGGAGCGTTGAGCTGATCCCTGATAGTCTGGCTGACCGCTGGCATGTAAGGCAGGAGCATAACCGACAGCAAGCAGGAGATATTCACAGAAACCCCCGTCACGGTGCCGGCGCGCCGCCTGAAAACAACAAACCATTCACATCAGCTAATCAAACACATCGGGAAAATGAAGACAGGCTGAGCTACAGTTTGAGATTCTGAACATAGACACGCCGAATAAAAAAATTTTTTTTTTTTTTTTAAACAGAACCAAATTACCTTATCTAAATAATAAAGAACTTAAAATCATTTAATAATCACTCATTAAATCTGAAAGAAATATACATAAAAGCAAGCCTTGGCCTTTATAAACCATTTTTTTATTTATTCCGGTCTTCATAGAGTAACACTTTTGCATATTGACTGAGGTTTTAGAACTGCTTTATCCTAATCAGTCGTACCTTTAGTAACCATATTGGCAGTAACGGATGTTTTTCTAAGATTTAAGTAAATCCGAGCTGGGCAAAGGTTGGGGGACTGCCAAGAGGCCAGCAGCAACAACAAAGGAGCTGCAGAAATCTCCAACATTAACTAATTATGCTAAACGTGACATCAGTCTGCTGTTCTAAGGATATGTCCATATAAATATATATTAAAATAAGAGTCTCATGGTTCGAAGGAAGAAAACCCCAACATTTGTTGACAATTTAAAAAATAAATTAAGCATATAAACTACTTTGGTGGTGTCATTATTATCAAGAATTACTTGTATTTCAATGGAATCACTTATTTGTTTTTTGTTTTTTTTAAGAATGACATAATTATAACCAAAAATGTATAACTAACTTAAAACCTTCAGAGCTTTGCTGGAAACGGAAGAGTTCAAATTCTGTTCTCTTCCTTTTTGCACTTATCAATAAAAAGGCTAAAACCAAATGAAGATTTTCTACATTTTTAAGCGCATGGAGCAAAATCTGAGCAGAAATCTAAACTGTGGGATGCAAAAGGACTCCTACCAAAGAAGACCTAATGTTGAAATTGAATTGGACGGCGCTTTCCTATATTTGTTGCACAAAAAAGAACACTTTTTTTATGTTTTATTGTTGATCTATAAAAATCATTATATTGTAGCCAGAAAGAAATTATCATCTCATTACTTTCCATCTTACCTTTCTGACTCTCCTCCCTTTATTTTCTTCCAAGGCTCATTGACTTGAATGTATTGGTTACCATGGCGAGAAATGTTCAGGATGTGTTTCAGGGCATCGCGGATCCTGGTGAAATATTTTAAACAAAGAGTGAATACCCGTATTAACACAGCGCTCTAAAACATTTTCCAAACTAGATGAGTTCTGCTTTATTTAAACATCTTACTTGACTTTGTCCATCAGCTGGATGTATTGCTGTAACTCCCAGCCCACCACAGCCAGGAGCTTCTTGTCTTCCTGCTGTAGCTCCATTTCAGGCACACATCCTCCAAAGAACTTGGTCACAAACATGCCAGCCCTGAGAGAGACAGGACGTTTGTTCAGAACATATTAAACATAGTAGGAAAAAAAAAAAGAGAAAAGGACCAGAATGAAAAATGAACATAAAAACCTTGAGAGGAAAAAAAAAAAGAGGTAAGGGTGAAACCATTGAAGGACATGCTGCTTGACTTGCTAACTGTGTATAAATTATACATTTTGCTGTCATATCAACCACACTGCCTTGCTGGATTTAGCATACTGCCTGAATCAAGTCATATTTGTAGCATTTTTTTAAAGTTTCATGTGTAGTTTATTTTTTTTTTTCCCTTTTT